GGTAAATAGGTAACTGGATAATGACTGGTGTGGGTCCCGTCCGTCCTATGAAAGAATTTCTGGATGACCCCAACGGAAATAAGGCACACTGCTTGGCTGTCATGGGTTATCCTGGCTTAAAAGCTCTCGATAGTGATGGGGTAATCATCCAAGGATATTTTTTCATTCCTCTTCCTCTTCCTCCTCCTCCTCTTCCTCCTCCTCTTCCTCTTCCTCCTCTTCCTCCTCCTCCAATTCTTGCAGTGAAGAGCTAAAGACGATAGCACTGTCTGCGAACCTGCAGTCTTTTACTATTAATATTACTTATTAATTATTATTTATTATTATTATTATTATATTCGACTAGCGTCAAGGCATCCCTCCCCCTGTCAAGGGGATGCCAGTAGTGGCACTCGCCAGTGTTTGCTTCTCTCAGTTCCCATCTGACATGACAGGTAGTTGAATACCAAAGCTCTTAGCGGGTTAATATTTCGTTATATATTGAGCTTCATTAAGTCACTTTAATCAAATCATGACTTAAAAAATACACAGGTAACCCGTATGTTTCGGTAAGACTCGGGTACAAATAGAAGTCAATATCGACCGAAACTTTGTTTTGCAACTCTCGTCTTTTCATTTTCACTTGAATATGACATTCGCTGGATGCATCATTTACCTTCATCTGACTATGACATTTGGTTGGTGTTATATTCCTTTTCAAATTAATGTGATAGGTAGTGGTTGGAAATTTCTCGTGAACATGGTCAGTGGTAGTTGCTTTGTTCACTGTCGCATGAACCTGACAGTGACTGCTGCAATCACTGTATTCCAAGACAGTGTACTAGTGTCTGTAATGGCGTATACTCCAGTTTTCTCTCAAGATGGGTACCTTGATGCCAGTGAAAGGGTCGTGATCCAATTAATTGGTGTTGCCCTCCCTTTCCCCTGGATCAAATCTGAAGGTAAATTATTAGACAGAGCTTTTGTGTCCATATCGAAGTACCTTCCACAGGATGGATACGAGACTACAGTAAAATAGCAGCTGCCTTCCACTGGATGTTTACAAGGTGCGCAATAAACTAGCAGCTGCCTAATACTACATGCTCAAGGGATGCACAATAAACTAGCAGTTGCCTACTACTGGATGATTACGTACGGGATGCACGATAAACCAACAACTGCCTACTGCTTGGTCTTCAAAATGCAATCTTCTAGACCTCACCATCAGTGTGTGATGCAGCAACTATTACTTATGCCATTGGTGGTCGTACCCCTCCACACACATTAGCTGTTATGGGAGAGAGTTTGCAAGATGGATATGTGAAGCGAGAGAGACTGGTGACGAACATAATGGTGTAAGTTAAAGGTGATGTGTTGGCCAGAGACTCTTGTAGGCTCGGGATGTGCGAGAGAGGGACGAGTTAGAGAGGCAGGCAGTGTTGGTGCCTCAACACCGCTCGCACGGCTGTACACTTTTCAGTGAGGATGCACACTTTTCTAGTAAGAGCAAGTGTACTTTATAAAAGTAGTAAGTGCACTTTATGAAACTGAGCACACACCTGGTTTACGCGTCCAGAAGAGTGGGTGTGAACTCTGTAGCGGCCCAAGTGAGAGACGGAGCCAGGAGCTGGAACACAACCCATAGACCTACAAATAGACTAATACACAGAGGAAAGCACACCACAACAGTACAACATAGCACCACACACACTCGCTATTGTCATCAGCATCTGCACTGCGGGAATCATAACAGATAGTCGTGGCTGCCCTGTCTCATCTTGAGAGTCAGAGATGATGCTCCAGCATCACTTTGCGATGCCATCAATGCCTCGGTAATGATCTTAGGATTCATCTCGTGATATTCAGGTGGGAGGCTGCTTATGCTGCGTTACTATATCACATGCAGCGTTTTTATCACACGAAGAGTTATTAAATACTGTGTTTAGCATATGCAGCAGGATCAAACCTATGATGGTATTTGACTCGTAAAACTCACAGGTCAGTGTGTTAATCGCTAGACCAGTTCGCAAATAACATGAGCAGGAGCCAGCTGGTTGTGTAGTGAATTTTAGGACTAGCCTGCTAAGGGTTTGAGTCCCATTATATAATTTTTTTGGAGCGATGTTAATAAGATTTCCTGAGTCTTGGTATCACACGCAGAGATGCCATCACATGGAGAAAAGTTCACCATGAATCGTTATTTTAATAAAAATAATATAAGTATAGGCAACTAAAATGCCTCAAAATTCCCAAGAATTTACTGTCAAAAACAGCAAGGAAAATGAGCTTTGAAAACAGGAAGCGGATCCAGACGTAATCTTGCCAGAGATTTAATCTAAGGCACATCCTTCAGAGTTGTATGTTACTAAGAACGAAAAATATTTACTTACAAGATAAGATAATTGCTTAGAGCAACTACCTTACCGTTGAATTAGACACATGTGCAACTCTTGGGTATCTTTATTGAGGAAACGTTTCGCCACACAGTGGCTTCATCAGTCCATACAAAGGAGAAACTTGAACAGGAGGAGAATGAGGTAATCAGTCCCTCAGCCTTTAGTCGATGTGGTCAGGTTAAGGGACTGATTACCTCATTCTCCTCCTGTTCTTCAAGTTTCTCCTTTGTATGGACTGATGAAGCCACTGCGTGGCGAAACGTTTCCTCAATAAAGATACCCAAGAGTTGCATATGTGTCTAATTCAAAAACATGTCGGTTCTCTGAACCATTCATCTATAACTACCTTACCTTATCGTGGATAGAAATGTTCACTAAAGACCCACGAAGTGGATTATCATTTAAAAAAAACTATTATTATTAACATATTCCCAGGGGAGACTTAAACCAAGAGGGTTTTTCAGTGCTTGGGAAATCGGAGTCATTCAGATTTGATCTGATCAAAGAATGTGTTGCGTTAATCCCTAGCATCAAGAGCCCTTCACAATGATCAAGGCACCATCTTTGAAAAGTATAAAATAAATAATAATAATAAATTAATAAATAAATCTACTTTGTGGATCGGTTGTGAACTATTCAATCCACGGTATTGTGACTCTTATTCTTCTCGAAGCAATTCCTTCTTCTAAAACTGAGTAAACAAACATTTTTCACGTTTAATACGATAAAAGTTTGAAGAAGTGACTTAGAGTTAGTCTCTGGAAAGACTCTGTCCGCTTTCTGTGCTCCTTTAAGAGAGTTTTCAAAACAACTCTTCCTTTCTCTCCTTGACAGTACTTTCTCGGGAAAATTTAAGGTATTTTAAATGTCTACACTTGGTAATACGTACCTTGTGTGTGTGTGTGTGTGTTTAAAGCATGGACGAGATTCTGAACTTTCATCTCTGCTGAGGAAATGAATAGATGGTGAAGATTTGTGACTAATACGCAATTTCCGAATTGTATTATAGTTTATAAAAAACGCTAAATCCGTATTGGGGTCATTCAGCTCATGGAATGGTAGAGGCTCGATCCATCGTCCACTAATGACGAGAGGAACATGCTACCCAACTATACAATTTAAAGTCTAGTTGAATATCCTCGTAAATTTTCAAAATCTGCTTAATATTATGCATCGATGAAATTTTAAATAGCGTTACAACATACAGTTGTGCTGGCAATATTTTATTAGTCAAGAGAAAAAAGAAAGGAATATTGATCCCATAGCGAGACTTGGTCATATAATGACCCCGCTCTGTGGAGCTTCTGGTCATAATACTGGAGTCTTACCTTGGCTTAGCGGGCAAGTAAAAGATTAATGATCACATCATAAGACGTAATGGTAGGTGTTCCACACCATATTAAAAAACTTGTGGTATTCGCTCTAAGCTGCGCGCCTGCATGGAGGCGCAATAGTTAATCAAGTGGCAGACAACATTTGTCGAAGTCGCGCACATTTTCAGTGATGGCTACTCTAGTTAGTGTTTTTACGTTGATTGCTTAATTTTTTCTTGATGTACATTCATTCTCCTTACATTCTACGGAATATGGTTACTATAAACATTATATGTATATATTAATAGCATTTATATTGTTACCGGTATTACATGTGTGTATATTACTCTCGTATATATTTCTACACATATTGACTCTTCACACTGCTGGAAGAAGTTAAAGAAAATATTACTCACTACAAATATAATCTCTTCGCCCACAGCAGGACTCGAACCTGCAAACTCTGTCAGAGTACACAGTACTTTCGTGGTAAAGTTCTTTGTACTCTGATAGTTTGCAGGTTCGAGTCCTACTGTGGGCGTAGAGATAATGTTTGTTTATATATATATATATCGTGCCGAATAGGTAAAACTTGCGATTTTGGCTTAAATAGCATCGTTCTTCTTGCCGAATAAGGAAAGCTACAATTTGTGTATGCAATAATTTCGTAAAAATCATTCTGAACCTAACAAAAAAAATTTCATTGTGTTTGTTTATTATTAAATTATTGTAAACTTATCTAAAATGTTAGTTGGATTAGGCTAAATTAAATTGCGCTTGTTATAATAAAGTTAGGTAAGTTTTCCAAGGTTTTGGTACAAAATTATTAATTTTTACATTAACATTAATGAAAAAAATACATCTTTAAACGTGTAAGAGAAAATTTTAGAAAGGGCATAATTTTAAATACGTTTTTGCTAATTGACCAGTTTTACATATTCGGGTCAAACATGAGATGTCATCTCGTTATTAACTTTTTAAACAACTTTTTGTTGTAGTTTCCAAGTATATGACTTATTCAGTCTTGAACCAGGACTGATGAAGCAGTCTGCATTAGCACACACGCGCACAGTACACAAATAACCCGCACATAAGAGAGGGAAGCTAACGAAGACGTTTCGATCCGGCTTAGACCATTTACAAAGTCACACACTCTTATTATTTGTTCACACACACACACACACACACACTGCAAAAGGCTCAACAGACGTTACAATAAAATGACAACGTATTCTTGATTCTAAGGGACGGGTTAAATGTAACTTTACTGATGTGAAACCGAAATAAACTTAACTCCAACACACTGCCGCAGGTGTCGTGGTTCAGGCGGCGAGACTGGCACATTCTCACCACAGGGATCTTCACTTACACCAACGACGAGCGCTTCAGTGTCTTACACCCGGAGGAGTCCGATGACTGGACGTTGCAGATCAAGTACACAACCCGCAGAGACAACGGTACCTACGAGTGTCAGGTGAGTGAAGGGGCAGGGATGGCACCTAGGAGTGTCAGGTGTGTGCTGGGGCAGGGATGGCACCTAGGAGTTCAGGTGTGTGCTGAGGCAGAGAAATGACACCTAGGAGTGTTAGGTGAATCCTCACGTGGAAAGGTAAACTGCACAAGCAGGCTCGATCCTCCGACATGCAAAAGACATAAATATTATTACATTCATGTTGGAAGCGTTAAATCTGTAGGAGTCACACAGCGCCTGGAGGGGAATGAAAGACTTTCATGCTCAAGGAGGGAGGAGCAAAGGTTCAGTACTTTAGATCAAGAGCCCTACACTGGCATCAAGGAACCTCCCTTGAAAGGTAGCAACGAGATATTCTCGCTGGTAGACTCACCATTCATTCCTAATGGCTGCATAGGAGCGAACGTGTTGATATATTCATGGGGAAGCGCTAAACTCTCAGGGTTGATGCAGCGCCTGGGAAATGGGAGTTAATCAGGTTCACTCGGGGAATGGGCAGGTCGCTCCATCTCCCCAGATCTTGTCTCCTTCACGGGTAACAAGGCAGCTAATCTGAAGAGGAAAGAAGAGAGGAACAAGATGCGTAAATATTTTATTCAGATCATTTTTACAGGTCAAGAGCTGTTATCCAACCTCAACTCATTTCAGAGTCCAGCCATATATAAGGTATACTACCGTCCCATCCCCCCCCCCATCAGTATGCGACTCGCAATAGTCGACTAACACCCAGGTACCTACTTACTGCTAGGTGAACGGGGGCAGTAGGTACAAGGAAACATGCTCAACTTTTCCACCCGTGCCGGGGATCGAACCCCGGACACTCGGCACGTGAAGCAAGTTCGTTACCAAGTTCACAGTTTAATATTTCACTTGTGTTTTAGTGTAATTTAAATAATAATAATATATAATTATTTTGGGGAGCGTGTGGAAGACTGGAAGGTATTCAGGGTCAGCCGAAGGAATTCGAACACAGGTCCAATTCCTTACATCAAGAGCCGCTCACCAGAATCAAGGGACCTCCCTTGAGCGGAATATAATCAAATTAAGTCTTGAACCCGTGAAACGTTTATCAGGAAAAAAAATACGTTTAAGGACTTTTTCCTCGAGTAAACGCTTTTGATGTCAGCACACTTCTGGAAAGACGGCGAGGGAATGAATGATGGTGAAAGTGTTTTTTTTTCTTTGAGTCGCCCTGCCTTGGCGGAAGACGGCCGCTGGGTTAAAAAAAAATCTTAATTTTAATAAGGAAATTTTAAATTTCCAAAAAAAAATGGAAATTAATACTGGAAGGATTTTTTGAAGAGTCTAAAGTCAGGAATTTGAAAGAAAATGGAAAATCTGAGGTCAGTTCAGGTCAGGGTTTTCTTATATTCATCAGAAAACGCTAAATCCTTATGGGTCATTCAGCGTCTGGAGAATAGGAAGTCAGGCTTAATTCAAGAGGTTGGGTAGCTCAAGTTCCTTGGATCAAGAGCCCTTCACTAGCATCATGTAATAGTGTAAAAATATAGATTTCCCCTTTGACCTATGAGGAGGGTTCTTTCATGCCGGTGAGCTGCTCTTGATCCAAGGAATTGAAGCTGCCCTCATCATCACTGGATCGAATCCGAATGCCGCCTAATCCCCATAGTGACCCTAACGTCATTAGAGCTCCACGGAATAATAATCAGAAATCATGGTATGATCTGCGTTCCCCTATCAACGACTGCAGCCCTTCAAAGCGGTGCCTTGATGCAAGGAATCACAGCAACCCTTCCCTTCGTCGAACCAAAGTTGATAATTTCAACATTACCTGGCGTTGTCTCCCCCCCTACGGATTTAACTCATCCCCGTGAATAAAATCACGGGCGCTGCTGTGGTGCTAAGTGAAAAGTTTGCTCCTGTCTTAATGACAATAAATAATAATAATAATAATAATAATAATAATATATTATTATTAAATGAATAAGCTGAAGGAGTCAGACCTCCGTTTTAACAAACATAAAAGAACGCAGCTGCCACAGTGAAGTGTCACTTCAACTTAATAAGACATGTGCAACACCTGTGGGTTTTTTTTACTGACGAAACTATATTTGCTAGTAAAAACGAAGCCTGCTGCGCTGGCGTAACGTCTCGTTCAGTAAAAATCCGTGTGTGTTTTTCTCATTAACTTGCCACAGGTAACCTTGACGGGGAGCATCGTAATGACCCTCAGCCTGGTCATACGACCGACTAGTGAGCGTAAAGAGCCGCTCTCAATGCAGGCAACACAGTGTGGAAAATATTGCACCATAAGACAGAACAAATGACCGGCTCTCTGCTCTGGCACATCCGGCTGAGGAGAAATACTTTGGTCAACCCTCCATTAATGTAATCCTTCTACCAGCACCTCACGGTGGGTGTCTGGAGGGCACTTGAGTTAGGGAAATTTAACCTAGCCATGGAACGATTCCGACTGTCTCCCGTTTCTCCCTAGGCGCTGAATGACCCCTAGTGTTCAGTCTCTCGTCGTGAATGTAATAATACTTTAGCGGGAAGGGAACAAAGAAACAAGAGAGAAAGAGGGAGCTAAGGAGGCAGAGGGGGTTACCCTCTTTAGGAATAGCTGCTGGTATATGGTATACCGGGTCTGCCGGGATACCATCGGTAGGAGTGTCTCCTGGGAGTGCTGGGGTCCCGTCACCATTGTCTTCTGGGGTCTCCCTTGTTTTATTGTCGGACCACCAACTTCCTCAGTGCCTGCAGCAGGAATATTAACATACATTCCTACTTGACCATCAACATCCTCAGTATCTGCATCAGGGAACCCTACCTACCTGCCGGCTGAGCCATCCTCAGTGTTGGCTTCAGGGTCTCCCTCAAACTACCTGCCAACTTCAGACTCCCACACAGCAGTGTGTTTTAGTTAACATATGGTGTTATCTCTTTGTTGACTTTAGAGGTTGTGTGTGACGGGTGTGTTACAATACCTTGGGTGTCTGTGTTGTTTGTTATCGTTATATCAATACACATGCTATATACTCTCCGCCCTTTGACGTTTGTATTCGCTGTAACAAATGAAACTCCACTAATGAGAGATTATTCGTGGGAGTCACTAGACCCGTATGGGTCATGCAGCTGTCTCAAAGTTTCCTTACTGGGCTAGATCTCTGGATACGTATTAATATGTTTATTGTGAACACGTATTAATGTATTTTGGACATTGTTATATACGAACACATTGAGAAAATTAAACAGAGGAGTAATACTATTCTTAAACTTCCATGAAGCGATGACTCTTATGCTTGCTATTCAGCGCAGTAAGTGGCGAAAGCTCGATCCTCCATCCGCTAATCTCACTCTTGATGCTGGCCAGTCAAGCTGTGTAAATTTGAGGCATTACTGAAGCACTCTTCAAACTGCTGAAGAGGGTTTCAAAACAATGCCGAAATGGGGCTCTAGTTTTATCTATGTAGGTTCGTTTGTGCCGCTGACTAGAATTTATCATTCTTTTCTGGTTTATAGTTGTTTTATTAATATAAATAGGAGAGAGATAAGCTCTAATTCTTTCATTTAAGAACCGGTTCTCTTGAAGGGAGCATATTGCCTATACCTGTGTTTGTACTGCTGTTCCGAAACCTAAATTGTTTGCCTTGTGGTTACAGTTGTCGACCGGGACAGGTGTAATCTCTCAGTTCGTCAACTTACACGTGGTAGTGCCTCAAGCCTTCATCCTGGGCAATAAAGATTACCACGTCCAGCTGGGTTCCACGATCAAGCTCGTCTGTGTCATCAAGCAGGTAAGACACACACACGAAAGCACATAGAGAATAGTTTTAACTGTGATTGTTATGAAACACTTTGCGTAGGACACACAATATTCACAGGCATAAAAAAATGTGCGTAAGACAATGAAAAGGATCATTTCAATGAACACAACACAGATACGTACTATCATACTAAGGATGAAGGGAAGGGAATCCAAAGATACAAAAAAAACACAGTAAGTGCTAAAAGGGAGAGATGCAGCTAAAAAACAAGTGCAAAACCCAGGAGGATGATACAACTTAGCAGTTATAAAACATGCAGAAAGAACAGAAGGATATAAGGCATAATAACTACTTGGCAGCTAGAAGTGTGAAACACAAGGAAAGTATACGTTGTAACTAGCAGCTAAACGGCCATAAATTCCAATGATTTTATATTCATTTGGGAAACTGTGAACTTGTAAGAGTAATCAGCACTTAAGGGAAAGAATTAGGTTCGCTTCGAAGGAATAATTATTGTATCCATGGAATAAGAATTAAACCTTTAGTGGGTTATCAGTTTTGATCTTTTAAAGGGAAGGTACCACCAAGTTCTTGTGTCAAGTGCCCTTCTCTAACGTAAAGGACCACACTGGAAGGGTCAGTAGGCAATAAAATCTGATTTCTTTACCCCCCGCCAGAGTCCGACGCCGCCACAGTACGTGTTCTGGTACCACAATGATCACATGATCAATTACGACACACAGAGGGGCGGCATCAACGTCTCCACGGAGACGGGGCCCAAGAAAACCCACTCCCACCTTGTCATCACCGACGCACGCTACCAAGACTCTGGAAACTACACTTGCAGCGCCTCAAATACACAACCTGCTTTCTCCAATGTCTTCGTCTCTCACGGTAAACTAGAATATCCTTCTGTTTGAACATCTAAATCTTTGCACTTCTATTATTAGAAACGCATTACAGAGTTTTCTTTCATCATCTTCGTCTCTTACGGTAAACTAGCATATCCTTCATGAGCTAATAAATTTTAACTCCTAACTGGAATCGCATCCTGTTTAAATTTCTAGGTCTGTTTATTTCTTTATACTTAGTACTCATATTACAGAGAACTAAACGACGCTTACCGTATAGTTTATTCTGAAATAATGCTCTAAATTACTCGTTAGATTCATCAATGCTTTACATAAACGATAATGGTCACATGTTAAATGTACATCTCCCTTCTAGGCGTTATTATATTCATTGTTTTGTTATTATTACTACGAGATAGTCATTCAGAAGAGAAGACTTTAGAAGTGATGATTATTACTTGCCACACCAGCATGGGAGTGACAGTTGTAAATAATGATGCCTGAACTCATCATATTGATGTGGAAAAGGATACTTGCGTACAGTTAAGAACCTTTAGAGGAAACGTTTCGCCACGAGTGACTTCAATCCTAATACAGAAATAACTATGCAACAAGTATATATTGTGGCAGGAGTCAGGCAAGCTGCGTTAGAGCAGCAATAATAATAGCAGCAGTAGGAGCAGCAGCAGTAGTAGTAGTAGCAGCAGCAGTAGTAGTAGTAGCAGCAGCAGTAGTAGTAGTAGCAGCAGCAGTAGTAGTAGTAGCAGCAGCAGTAGTAGTAGTAGCAGCAGTACAACAACTGTGATGAGATGTGATGGGAAGAACCTATCAACACATTACAGTGATCTCCAGAATGGATAATATTTTGTCGGTATCAGAATACCATTTTTCACATAATTATGATGTTTCAATACCTAATAACACTTAACCCACTAAAGAGAACTAGAGAGAAGTTAGAGGAAGAGTGTTAGCTAACATATTAGACATGTTTACTAACATGCACAGAAAACTGGACCTTATGCCACTCTCTCATAACATGAAAAATTTAATGCAGTAAAAGAAACAGTAAGAATGTCCCTAACACAATATTTTATTAATTCATCTAACACATTCCAGCTCCGAATGCTACAGACAACTAGGGAATAAATTTAAAATTGATGAAAGTTACACAACACGCCAATGTGAAACTTGTGGTATCGTAACCTAAGGGATGTACCAGTGTATCGATATCGGTAAAAAACGCTCGATACCAGCCAATATTTTGTTAATGTTGCATGTGTACTTAAAAATATCAACTTCAACAAAGCTCTCCAGAAAAAGCTTTCCAGGAGCTTTGTCAAGCCATAACGGCTTGACAAAGCTCCTGGAGAGCGAAATGTTGCTACAGTAAAATGTTGCATTAGTTAAACCTTTTCATGTCACTCTTACCGAATTTATTTCAAGTTGTATAGCAAATTGCAACAGAGTAAACATCGTATGGGAACTATGAACGACTCACGGCCGGTGGTACTTTACAAAGGAATTTATATACCTTTTTTTTAGGAGGAAGAGCATAAGGTAAGTAAAATTATACAACGTATTTATTATATAAAAGATGTTTTTTTATATTGTTCCAGTTTATAAGTGGTGAACCTGCATGGAGGAAATACTCTAATGGAGGAATATGTGGAGGTTAGTAGGGAGGGAGAAGGAAGACTGTACAAGGGTAAGGGTTAGTGTGAGTAGTGAAGAATATAAAAGGTAAAAATGGAATCAAAGTTGGTGCAATAAGTTAAGTCTCTGTTAAAGTTAGAGATTCTATCCTTAAGGTGGGACTTTCTGCGAGGTCAGTTAGTGTGTATTGGGGCAGTGATGATGGAAATTGTTTCCCCACTGATAAACAGAACATTTATTAAGATGATGTGAACTGACAATGCACCCTGATAATCCTCACAGAGCAGTGTAAGACATCTTTGCATAAAATGTTCCTGAGGAAGATGTGTGTGGCCAATACGTAGACCGGAGAGAGCATTCTCCAAATATAACAGTAGTGTAAGATGGCCAAAAGCCCATAATTTGACAAAGCAATTTATTGGGGACCAACTCGGCCCACCTTTGTTGCCAAAGCCAGAAATCACCTAACAAAAGGCCAAGAAAGAAGTATCCCGGTACAAAATTAGAGATCCTGGTGGGTTAAGCTCTTAGTTTTGATTATAATGTAAAAAAAAAAACGGATGTTCATGAACAGCTGACCCAGAGTTACGGTCCGCCCATCGAACTGTCCAGGGAAACTGCAAAAAAATGATTCTTTGTGTTAACTAGAAATGCGTCAGTACTAACGTTGTACAAGAGGCGTTATCAAAAAGTTCCCTAATTCAAATTTTGTGAAGTAGCGTTGAGATTCGGTCCGGTCGGTCATTCTGTTTTAGTTAGACGCGCATTTTTTGTCGTATTGCCAGTGCATTGTTGCCATTTTTTTGTGTAACAGAATTAAATCTTTAAAATAGTGTGTGTGAGAGAGAGGGGGAGAGAGAGAGACTGTTTCAGGCTAGGTAAAAGTGGCCAGTGAAACTCGCAAAAATACTTCAAGCATTCAGCATTGAAGCAAAGGGTCGGACACATTTTCTTCTTATGGGCAGAGAGGTATAACATCCTTCAAGAGTGAGGAAGAGCCAAATGTGAGTGGGAAAGGTACGCAAGGCAGTGTGTAAATTGAAAGGGATAAAGCCTGTTGGTATATAGGTTTGGAGTGGTTGGTGCACGGGTCTAGGTGAGTAATATGGGAGATGTATGGAGAAGGCTGTAGGTTACTTTTAGCATTAAAGATCTTTTATGTATATAGTTATACACAGATTATGTAGAAGTCAGACTATTTTTCCTGAAGAAGTAGGCCTTAGGCAGGGATGTGTGATGTCATGGTTGATAACATAGGATCACAATAGATAAGATTGCAGATGACAGTTCTTTTAGGAGTTGCAAAGATTGATAAATTAGGAAAAGTATTTTAAAGAAAATTAAAAGTGAACATAGGAAAGAGTAAAGGGAGAGTATCATAAAATATAGTCAATGAGAGACTGGATATCAGACTAGAGGGAGTATGAAGTAAACTTGTTCACTTATTTGGGAGTGAACTTGTTGGCAAAGGTTTCTGTGAGAGAGGATGTGAACAATAGAACTGAAGGGCGTGAAAAATGTGTTGTGAATGTTGCAGCGAGAAGGCTGGAGACAATAGATGTGTGGTGTGAATATTAGACAGTGAATTCGGAGCTTTGAGGTGAAGTTACCATAAACATTATTCAGAGGGGTTGCTGAGGTAGTTTAGACATTTAGAGAGGTTGGAAAAAACATTGGAAGACTAGGATGGCGTATAAATTTGTGGCGGAGGAAAGGAGGGGTAGAGGTATCCTAGAAAAGGCTGGAGGGAGGGACAGGATAGACATCCAGCAGGCTTGTGTGTGTGTTGGGAGTGTAAGTGTGGCATGCAAAGAGTACGTAACCTTTATTCGGCGCATGTACACACCCTCATTTACAGGCTATCTCCCCCAACCAGCGAACCAGGTTGCTAAGAGTTGTTGATGGGGCCCCGTCGTTCAACTAGTGACCAGGTTCTAGCCAATAAGAAGATGGTTTTGGCAATCGCAGAGGTTATGTGGGTACCACTCTCCTGTCTGCCCTTGTCATTCCCATTCTAGAGCTGGTTGAAGCACGGTCTGCTATCTTGTGGCTTCTATTTCTGCCTTGCTTACCGTGGAGTGCACTCTACTTATCACTGTACATAGTGTACATATTGCTGTTCTAAATTGGTGAAGGATAATATAAGTCTAAACTTTTTCTGCTGTGTTTATTTTGCTCCCATTACACCCGGGATAACAGGCCATTTGGAATCCTGGGTTGTAATAGTAAGCAAGTAGTATTTATAATCTGAGGTGCGAAGTAGTGGGAATGTTGTAGTTTGTAAGGTCATCTGAACTGTGAAGTCAACTCACTTTTTTGATTGAATAACAGTAAAAGTTTGTCTTATTCGGTCATATTTCCTCCGTAGAAGATCGCCGGAATGTTAATAAAATGAAACTACGTCAAGAAAAAAGTTTTTTAACATTGGAAGCACCACACTTTGATATCTGCAAATTCTAATACATCTAATTGTTAAGTAACGTAAGAGTTTCTTCCACCTTTAAATAACCAAAATATTGATTCATATTTCTAAAAATAAGCAGTAGACAAATGTCAGATTCGTGATCAGCTTATCTTTTAGCTTAAATCAACCAGTTTAATTTCTGAACTGGATAAAAAGTTAAGTATTGTTGGTTAAGTGTAATTAATGGAATTCCTTGTGCAAATGCCGACAGAAAATAACTTAAAAATTAACAGATTTCTTGTATCCAGTAAGCTGTTGCTGAATCAGTTTTAAGTGGACTCGTTCTGTATACTAGGAAAAAAAAATATCTTTCGGATTGTCCGATTTCACCGGAATTTTTATTTCAAAGTCTCCTTTAGCTTTCCTTATCTTTTTTAAAATCTTTTATATGTATATACTGGTTACAAAGTGACCTTTACTGATACTCTTATCAATTCCTTTCATCTCCCCTTAAATATGTCTGTCTCCTCTTCATCCATTTCTGACCTATTTTTTTCGTTCTTATTTCTCTATAGGGAATGCCAACAATCACAGACGGGTGATCTTAGTTATGCAAGACAAACCACAAGGGTGGAAGTCTTTAGCTCAAGTACTTTCAGGACCTATGCAATGTTGCAAGAGAGCAGCTAAAGGAGGGAGAGAATTCTCAGAGTAGCGTAGTGCGGATATATCACCAGTCACCGTGGCTGGTGACATCCGCACTACACTACTCTGAGAATTCTCTCCTTTAGTTGCTATCTTGCAACATTGCATTGCTCCTGATGACGCACTGAGAAGTGTGAAAGTACTTGAGCTAAAGATTTCAACCCCCCGTGGCTTATCTTGCATAGTTATCGGGAATATATGTTTTCTGTCAACCTATATATTACATATAAAAATGTCAGTGATATTTCTCTCATTTACGCCAGAGAACACATGACAGATGTTTGCCATGTCCACTGTAAACTGCAGAACGAAAATCTGGGACCTTTACTTCATTAGCCTCATCATACTATTCAAAATTAAATGCAAAATATTTATGATCGTTTGTATTAATTACTATTTAATGATAATCAAGCGCTCAACCTAGTTTGAAACCTTAAGAGTCTCCTAGTTTGCTACAACCAAATAAGACAGATTATTTTCCCATCGACAGTTCTATTTAAACCGTTTAAAGTAAAAAAAATAGCCCCGGACTGCCTCAAGAAAGTCTTAACTCTGGATTCCAAGTTACGAAACTTCAGTCACTTTGGCTAAAATTAAAATCCCTTAGGATTACTAATTTTTCGTGTCTTGAGGCCTTTACAAATATCGTCCCAAAGAAGTCTCATTGTCGACTTTGCACACCAGAGATCACATTATCGTGCTCTTCAGAAATATGCATCCACACAGATTTCGTGTCAGTTCCTTCACACTTTATATCATATTCCAGTGAGCAGTTAGTTTTCAGGCACAGAGAGCTATTCCACTCCTTTTTTTTTTGTCTCTATCGGCATTAATTTAACTCCTTTATATTGTATTCGGTAAGCATGTCCCGATTCTTCAAATAAAACCTTGTTCGATTAGGAGACTCGGCGCATAATTATGACTTTGTGTGTGTGTACTTTTTTGAACATGAACGAACTATACCCTTTTTCAATACCTTAAGTACTAATACTGTTCTCCAAACATTACAGGTGACAAAATGGCAGCAATACAGAGACAGATGGCAGCAGGAGGCCCGACCAGTCTCGATGCGACCTGCCTGTGGCTCTGGTCCCTTTTAGTTACAGCCTACCTGGCCCGCAGATGATGTGTTGGGCCTCCTCTTACTTAACTTGCAACACTACGTCCTGGGCCCTAAATACTGTTGTTGAAACCTCTACAACTTCCTACCGCCCCTTATTAAACCACAATGACTTCTAAGGAAACAAGAAACTTTTTGCAATGCGCCAAGTGACCCGCTACAAAGATCACTGTGGAGTATTATCTAATACATCAAAAGTGATTGTGTGAAAGTGTGGATGACTCCCATGGAAGGACCAAAGGCCTACCATTTAGTATTCGTGATAACTTTGAATTTCCTTGACTAAGTATTTTCTGAAGAAATTCTGTGTTTGGAGTGAAAAGAGGTTATTGCTCGGAAGTGTTGATATGTTAAGTGTTTGCCGAATTATGTTTTACCAGGAGCAAGTGTGAAACTGGAAACGGTTTAACAGATTCGTTGACAATAACAAACAAAACTTGAACGGTATTTAATCATACACTCTGAACAGTATGCTCAAATATTTAGGAAAAAATAATCCAAAACTGGTCGGCAGACGTGTCCAGTGAAAACTCAGCAATAAGGCAAGAGCAAAGGTGCAAAACAGAACGAATCAGTCTATTTAAAAAGTCCCACAAGAACCATTTCAAGCATCAATAGGTTTGCGGTATAAACAACTGTTTCGAGCAACTCTGCAAACCGGACAAATAACATCACCATTTGATCGCTTATATTACTTAGCGATCGATGGAAACTTTTCTATTTTGTTTCATGAACCTTAAAATAAACCTCGTGAAACTGAGCACTATAGTTACCTGGGAGTCGGAGCCTTCAGAAGAGCATATAATCAATCAATGAACTGTTGCTTGAAAACATGTAAACAGGAAAAAAACACGGTAAAAAATGTTACGCTGAAGAATTAAGGTCAGAGGAGGAAAAAACTTTTGAGCTTAAGGTAATAAAACCAATAATTTGAGTGTCTTGCCCGTTTTCAGTTTTCGAACAAATTTTGGCAGGTTGGCACAATACCCAAGGAACAGTGATGTCAGGACATTATTCCACACTATATTTCATTCACTTGAAGAAATATTGAAGTTCTACAGACTTTATATCATGCCTCACATCAACCAAATATTTTTCGAACCCCGACTATGATTTCTCGAGTAACTAAAGACACTCGAACTATATTTTTCCATTTGAACCCGAACATTCTGAGATATTTCAGCTGTGTACCCCTAATAGACGTTATTATATTAAAAAAAATCTATTTTTTTCAGACCCCATTTAGTTTTCTATGAACATTGAAATCCAAACCATCAAAACTGTAAAATTTAGTTACTTATTAACACAGTTTGAATTACTAGCGAAAACTGAGGGTAGCTCCAGTTCCCTGGATCAAGGACCTTTCACCACTATCAAGGCGCACGCTTTGAAAAGCTAGACACTGGTAAACTACTCATGGCACCCAGCACTAGTGATTCATGATAGTCGAGCACACGACCATGAGGACCTGGCAAGACTCGTCCCGAATTTCTATTAGTTTCCCCTTTAAATATAAAAAGAATGGGATTATCCCATCTTTTACATACATTTCCATTCGTTATGGAATTGTATCCCTCAAAGTAGACGATCCTTGATATGGATGAGAGGCTCTTGATCCAAGAAATGGTACGTGTTCTTTTATAGGATTACTTCTCATTCCCCAGGCATTGTATGATCCTTATGGAATTACTGTGTCGGCAAAATATCGACAAGGCAATGCACAGATACACAAAGCAGGTCGTACGGGTCGTATTGAGCCTGGGGAAATGGTAGGCAATCAGATCTGAGCCAAGCAAGTAACTGCAATTTCTTGAACCAAGAGCCCGTCAACTGCATCAGGGCACTTACTCTTCTGAGGGTATAAAAGGCACAGCTCTCCTGGAATGTAATAATCTACGCAGATACAATCCAGAGCAGAAAAGCTGCATTGAAATCATTGGCGTTTGTGGCCAACTGAATCGCAGCAGTGAAAAAAAAATTATTGAGCAAGTTTTTACCGAGACAACATTTCATGTAGAGCTTTATCGCTGTTAAGGCTCTACAAAACCCGAAACGTTGTCCTGATAAAAGCTTATTCTGCAACGTGCATATTTTCTTAACTATTGTCGGCAGTACGCCATTTAGACCTCACTGATTCGCAGCAATGACCTGGGATAACAAATTCTCGTATCACATCTACGTGCTTTGTCAGGGTTGATGTAGCATCAACGGATCACCAGGTGCTTCACACTACATTAACAAGTAACCTTGAGTGTGTCGCTGCAATTATCTCCAAAGAATGTTGTGAAAATGTCTCATCTCCAACCAACATTCTAACGTCATAAGGAACTCATCGTGTACGAATTATGTACATACTGTGTACGTACTGTGTACATTGTACGAACTTGTCGATGAAATCGTGAAATATTCCATGTCGAGTGATCATGTAAATAAGAAATTGATATTTTCCATATATAGCCATATAAGAAACGAAGAAAAAAAAAGATTTATGTTAATGTTACAGTAATGTGAAGTGTTACTTCATATCCCAGCGTGTCTGAGTACACAGAAAGTAGGTAACATCTGTGGAATGTCTCTTTGTACTGTTTAAACTATTTCATTCCACTTTGTTATACATTCTAAAAGATTAAATTTCTACGTCTTGAATTTGTTCTAGCAGAGTACTTTTAACTGACCTACGCGTGTCACTGTTGTTACTAAATTTCAAGTCCCAATACCATGACTCGAACAATTCAGATATAAACCACACTTTGGAGAGGAAACTACAGACGACGTGTCGGTCCGACCTGGACCCTCATAATGATCCAAAACGACCAAAACGACGTCTCCTTTCCAAGTTAGTAGTCCCTTCAAAGGGAGGTGCTTTGACGCCAGTGTAAGGCTCTTGAACCAGTGATTTGGAGGTACCCAAACATTGACCAAACCAAATTGCTGCTTAATCCTCGGGCGTTTTAAAAAAGTATGTATTTAGCGCTTACCCATAAATATATTTATGTATACCTGGTGAAGCGCTAAGTTCTTCGAGCCATACAGCGCCCGTAAGCTCCAAGTCCTTGGATCAAGAGCACTTCGCCAGAAAAAGCACCCAATTGGAAGTGTCTAAAGCCTACCACTGGTCAGCAATCAAAAATACCATATCCTCTCTATCCCTCTACCTAAGGTGCTCTTCAATTTCAGTGTTTGCGTCTCATCTTCCGTTCCAATCTATTTGCCATTTATATTTCTAGTCATATCTAGTCAACTTACTTTATAACTCGAGTATCTTAATTGTTGCTAAACTTTCGTTTCCGCTGTCAAGTTACGATGGCCTTTCCATTACAATGCTCATCTCCTCCTTACCTGGTCTCTCACCTGTATGTTTTGCATTAAAATATAGAATGTAAACAGTGTTTATTTCCCAATATTTTAAATAAGCTTTGATAAATATATAAAATATGCATTATATTACCCCATGAACCCAAAATAACTGAAGTAGAAAAAAAAATGGACAGGGGTTCAAACCCTGAACCATAAGCATAGCAGGCCTAGTAATATTTATTTTCACATATACAAGGTATACAGGCCTAGCTGACACACTATAGAAATCCGCTTTTATGCAGAGCATTTTGGACAAATTAGGTCAATTTTGTCCCAGGATGCGACCCAAACTAGTCGACTAACACCCAGGTACTCATTTTACTGATGAATGAACATTGACAGCAGGTGTCTTATAGAAACACGTACTAATGTTTTATAGCCGCACCGGGGATCGGTACTGATGAAACACTGGGCAAGAGCAAGCATATGATGAGCGGTTACAGCATTGGGACTGCTATATAATTATTAATTTATATATACTGCATATTCGTATATATAACATATTGCAGCGAACCAAGACCAACTTTCAAATACGCTCATCCATCCCTGCCCATGAAATAGGATGTCCCCATGCTTTCCTGCCCATAAAATGTTACCCCCATGAATCCCTACCCACGAAATGATATCCCATGCTTTCCTGCCCCTGAAATGGTACCCACATGTTTCCCTGCCCATGAAATGGTACCCCTATGCTTCTGTACTCATGAAATGGTACCCAATGCTTCCCTACCCATGAAATGGAACGTCGCCACGCATCCTTGTCCATGAAACGGTACTCCCATGCTTCCCTGCCTATGAAATAGTACCCCCATGCTTTCGTGCCAATGAAATTATACCTACACGCTTCCTTGCTCATGAAATGGAACCTCGCCATGCATCCCTGCCCATGAAATGGTACCTCCATGCTTCCATGAAGTGGTACTCCCATGCTTTCCTAACTATGAAATGGCACCCCCCTTACTTCTCTACCCTTGAAATGGTACCCCCATTCTTCCTTGCCCATTAAGTATTACCCGCATGCTTCCCTGCCCATGAAATGGTACATTTCCGTGCTTCTCTGTGCATGAAATGGTTCCCCCTATGTTTTTCTAACCATGAAATGGAACCCCCCATGCTTCCCTGCTCAGCCCCCATGCTTCTTTGGCCATGAAATGGAATATATCCATGCTTCCCTGACCATGGAATGGTACACCCATGCTTTCGTGCCCATGAAATGGTACCCCATGCTTCCCTGCCCCCCAAAATGGTACCCCAATGCATTTCTGCCCAAGAAATGGTACCCCATGCTTCCCTGCCCCCAAAATGGTACCCCAATGCATTTCTGCCCAAGAAATGGTACCTTCCATGCTTCCCTGCTCATGAAATGGAAACCCCATGCTTCTCCCCAGGAAATGGTACCCCCCCCATGTTTCCCTGCCCATAAAATGGTGCATTTCCGTGCTTCCCAGGGCGTGGAATGGTACCCCCTATGCTTTCCTAACGATGTAATGGAACCCCCATGCCTCCCTGCTCATTAAATGGTACCCCATGCTTCCCTTCCCATGAAATGGTACCCCCACCCTTCCTTTCCCGTGAAATGATACCCCATGCGTCTGTACCCATGAAATGGTAACCCAGTGCTTCCCTGCGCATGAAATGGTAACCCCAATGCTTATCTGCTCATGAAATGGTACCCCAATGCTTCCGTGCCCATGAAATCCTGCCTCCCATGCTTTCCTGCCTAGGAATTTGAAAACCCATGCTTCCCTGCCTATGAAATGGTACCTCCTTATGCTTCCCTGCCCATG